GAGAGAGAAAAGAGAGAGAGAGAGAGAAAAGAAACAAAGAAACAAACATTGATGTGAGAGAGAAACATCAGTCAGTTGCCTCTTAAACTCACCCCAAACAGGGATCAAACCCACAACCTAGGTATGTCCTCTGACTGGGAATCGATCCACGCTACCTTTTGGTGTACGGGACGATGCTCCAACCAACCGAGCCACGCTGGCCAAGGCTTTCAGTAGTTTGCCATCTGGGACCTCGAAATAGCTTCTACTTTTAATCCTTTAAAAATCCCTTCAGCCCTAACCCGTTTGGCTCAGTGGATAGAGCGTCGGCCTGCTGACTAAAGGGTCCCAGGTTCGATTCCGGTCAAGGGCATGTACCTTGGTTGCGGGCACATCCCCAGGAGGGGGTGTGCAGGAGGCAGCTGATCGATGTTTCTCTCTCATCAATGTTTCTAACTCTCTATCCCTCACCCTCTTCCTCTCTTTAAAAAAGTCAATAAAATATATTTTAAAAATTAAAAATCCCTTTAGCAGTGCCCAGATTCCTTGTCCTGCTCAATAAAACACCATTAATGATAAGTTAGAATTACACTTTCAGATGATTATTGAAATTCGGGGCTCTCTCCCTTGGCTAATGGCAGAACATATTTTCATGCAAGAGAAAAGCATTATTTATACCTCTGAGTTCAAGTTCCTTGTCTTGCCTGAGGTTTAGTCAATTCAGAGTTCTCAGGGGAAACATGGGAAGAAGAAAGGCAATGGGAAATCCTTTTGGGAAACTGAGGCCAGCCTTTGGTCTGAAAAATATATGTGGATTTTCTTTTTTTTTTTTTTCAGGTTGCCAGTAAAGCTGAGGAAAACCTGCTGTTGGTACTAGAGACAGACATGAGTGATCGAAGAGCTGCAATCATCTTTGCAGACACACTCACTCTCCTGTTTGAAGGCAAGCCTCTTTCCCCACCCTAGGGAGACGGTAGACATTATCCTAACACCTGCATCCTGGTGTTCTTCTCTCCCCACTAGCCCAATGCCTTTAATTTAATCCTGTAACTTCCTGCACACTGGTTTATTGGAGAATTAACTTCCCAATTCAATAGCAGGTTAGCAAAGATTAGTTTGATCCTCCCTTGCCCTCAAGACCAAACTCTAAGAATAAATTTAGCCCTTAAATACATTACTGAGAAGAGGGCAATACTGATTTTTAAAGATGTTTCTGTACAAATTGTCAATATAATGTAGGAAATATCTGCTGGTGTACCAAGTACAGAGCATTATTTCACAGACAAATTTGCTAAGCAAATTCTAGCACTGACAAGAACCGTTTGTATTCATTTGGGGAGGTGAAACAACCAAAAGGGGTTGAGTTAGACCTGGGTCAGCCTTGGTTGGAAGAAAAGAGCTTAGTATATGAGAAGAACATTTGGAATCCAACCCTCTTTCCTCTCTCTAGGGATTGCCCGCATTGTGGAAACTCACCAGCCAATAGTGGAGACATATTATGGGCCCGGGAAACTTTATACCCTGATAAAGTATCTGCAGGTGGAATGTGACAGGCAGGTGGAGAAGGTGGTAAACAAGTTCATCAAGCAGAGGAACTATCACCAGCAGGTGAGCAGGGGAAGCTACAAGTGGCTTGGAATCAGTGTTCGCCAGGGACACCAAACGGAATAAACTGGGAGGTGGGGCGGGGGGAGCGGGGAGAAAAGAGATGCAGACAGAAGAAAATAAAGGCTGAATGCAGACTGGCCTGCATCTTGCCCATCAGAGCTTGAGGTGTTGTCATGATGGTGATGGCCTCAGTACAAGATTGAAGAGGAACTGGAAAAGGTTCCTAAAAGGAACACAACAGAAACATTGAGCCAGTTCTTTATCACAGAATGTGCAATTGTGCTTTCTAGTGATACAATGAGAATTTTATTTGTGAAGATTCCATTAAGTGTCAAGTAATGTGTCACACATTTCTCCTTAATTCCCTTAAGTGCTAAAGATAACAATTGCTTTTTCAGAACTTTATATCTGCATTCCTTTGAGCAGAGAGAGTAAAGAGTAGGACTTAGAAATAGTCGTCCTATACACTCTAGACAGTAGTCCTTTGGCATACCACTAGCATCACTTTTAAATGCAATAATATGTTGCTGCTAAGGTTCCAGTGCAGATGCAAGAAAAAAGGGTCCTTGAACATTCTGTCTATCCAGTTGTGGCAGCCAAGATTGAATGGGGGAATACAGTCAAAAAGTAAAAATAAATGCCATAATAGAGGTGAGCATTATCATCTAAATCAAAAAATCTTTGGCTCATCATTCTGAAAGCCTGCTTGTGGCGTGTCTGTTAAGCACACTAACCAAACACTCTTGTATGCCAGAAGTTTGGAGTGACCAGCAAAAGGCAGATACAAGGAGGGTGGGGAAGAGCACTCTTATATGTGGTGTTTTGCAGTTCCGGCATGTCCAGAGCAACTTGAGAAATTCTACAACAGAAAAAATAGAACCAAGGTAATAGTCCACTTTTCTTCAGCCCATAAGTGTTTGGTTTAGCAATTGTGTATCATTCAGACACTACTCTGTTACAATGTGGTCTATGTTTTAAAAATATTTATCAATGACTCTTGGTTTTCTTTAATGGAATATATTCATACAAACAAAAGCACATATATAATCTATATGGTTCATAAAGAATAATAGATCATTAACAGTACTTTTGAAGTCCCCAAGTGACTCTCTTTCACCCCTCTCCCAAAGGCAACTACTGTCCTAAAATTTTAAGCTTTTTAACTTTTCTAATAAAAATAATATATGCTTATTAAAAGAAAATCCAAACATAAAAATGTATTCACTCAATCAAATTTTTACTGAGTACACATTACATGCCAAGCACTGGGAATATGGCAGCAAGCAAAGTGAGCAAAACAAACCTAATTCTTTCTTTGTGGCATCTCTGGTCTGTAGTGTTTACTATATGCCAGACATTGTTCTAAGCACTTAACAAATATTAAGTCATTTAATCCAGGCTTTCTCAGCCTCTGTACCAACCGTGGGCAAACTACGGCCCGCGGGCCAGATCCGGCCTGTTTGAAATGAATAAAACTATTGAAAAAAAAGACCATACCCTTTTATGTAATGATGTTTACTTTGAATTTATATTAGTTCACACAAACACTCCATCCATGCTTTTGTTCCGGCCCTCCGGTCCAGTTTAAGAACCCATTGTGGCCCTCGAGTCAAAAAGTTTGCCCACCCCTGCTCTGTACTGTTGGCATTTGGGCTGTGCATTATAGGATATTTAGCATCCCTGACCTTTACCCACTAGCTGCCGGTAACACCCTCCAGTTATGACCATCAAAATGTCTCCAAACGCTGCCAAATTTTCGCTGGGGAGTAAAATCACCCTCTGTTGAGGATCGATGTTTTAATCCATTAACATTTTTTACAGATGAGGAAACCAAAGCCTAGAGGGTTAAGTGACTTGCCCAAGATCATACAGCTAGAAAGTGTCAGAGCCAAGAAAAGAACCCAAGTAATCTGACTCTAGAGTTCATGCTGTCAACCACTGTGATATGTTAAGTGTAGGGGACAGGAGAATGTGTAATAAAGGGATACAAACTAAGCTGATGAAGTTCAAGGAAAAATTCCTGAGGTAATGACCTTAGATCTGAGACCTTGAGTTTAATAAGTAGGAATAAGGTGAAGACTGTTCCACGTAGAGCAGGGAAAGTGTGTGCAAAAGGCCCTGTGTGTTTGAAAAGTGAAAGAAGGTCATGGTAGTTGAAGTGCAGAAAGTTGGGGAGAACCTGACGTGAGATGAATCTGAAGAGGTTTTTAGAGTTAGGCCATTCCAGGACTTGTATCCTAAGAGCTATGGAGATCTTGATTATGATATGACCAGATTTATGTCTTGAAAAGATCTCTTGGTCTTCAGTGTAAAATTAGTCAATTTGTGTATATAATCTGAAATAGTGGTTCATCTTCATTTTTTAAAATACATGTATCAGTTATCCTAACACAATTTGTTGAAAGGACTATTCCTTTCCTATTGAATGTTTTTTACACTCTCCCTAGAAATCAGTTGACCATAAATGTGAAGATTTCTGGACTCTCAATTAATCTAACGGTCTATTTTAATGTCAGTACCACACTGTTTTTGAATTCTGTAGCTTTGTAGTAAGTTTTGAAATTGGGAAGTGTGAGTCCTCCGACTTTTTTATCTTAGATTGTTTTGGCTATTCAGATGAGTAGATGAATGGGTGTGGAATAGTTTAATGGCACCCCCAAAATCTCATCACAGCTAAATAAGAGGTTGGGAAGGTTTGTTTTCTCTCACATGAGGCATAGATGATTTTTACTCAAACTGCTAACAAAAACACACCTCCCAGTCTCTTATTTAGCCCTGGCAGGATTTTAGGGGCCGAGTGACTTGGGTGAAATGTGTAAGTGGAATATGTGGTTGACAACTCTCTCTGATTATAGTTGGGTCAGCAGAGCCAGGATGACCATCTGGCACAGACCTTCTGGACCCAGTGGGGAGGGGATGTTCGGGAGTATGTTTGCCCTGTAGCCATTCTGTCTGAAGGAACCCAGTGTCCTGCTGATTTCTTCTGCTCCATGTGTCTCAGGGAACTGGACCCCATCCTGACTGAAGTTACCCTGATGAACGCCCGCAGTGAGCTGTATTTAAGCTTCCTCAGGAAGAGGATCAGCTCTGATTTTGAGGTGGGGGACTCCATGGCCTCAGAAGAAGTAAAGCAAGGTAAAAGCCATTTCCCATATTCCCTGGGAGGGCTGGGGTATGGTTATTGTTGTGCATAGTTAAGCCACAAATCTCTTAATAAGAAGTGATGGGTTTGTTGGCGTCTGGGGGTCTATGGGCAAATTGACTCCCAGGAGAAAAATCTAGACTTAACTGAATTTGGAATTGGACTGGGCCTTTGAAGCCATTTAATTATTTTCCTGTGCTATTTTCCCCACACCATGCTTCCTTACCAGCTTCAGTTTAGGGACTGATGTTTAAATAGGTGATATGCACACATGATAGATGGAGGGAGGGAGGGAGAGAAGGATGTGGAGAGGGAAGGAGGGAGAGGGAGGGAGGGATGTGGAGAGGGAGGAAGGAGAGGGGAGGGGAGGGGAGGGAACTTCATGATAGGACTATTCCAGACTGGATTGTAGCAATTGTTGCAAAATTCTATCAAGTTACTAAAAAATAACATTGAGTTGTATACATATAATGGATTGATTTTATGGTACATACATTACACCTTAATATAGTATTGAAGTACAATATTGAGAAAAGAGTATATCGTATAAAGGAAGAGCATACAAAAAGACTATATAGTGTAGCTCTAGCTGGTTTGGTTTAGTGGATAGAGCATCGGCCTATGGACTGAAGGGTCCCAGGTTCAATTATGGTCAAGGGCACATGCCTGGGTTGCAAGCTCCATCCCAGTAGGGGATGTGTAGGAGGCAGCCGATCAATGATTGTCTCTCATCACTGATGTTTCTATCTCTCTCTCCCTCTCCCTTCTTCTCTAAAATCAATAAAAATATTTCTTTTTAAAAAGAGTATATAGTGTAAAGAAAGGCTTTCACTATATCTCTCAGTACTCTTAGTCACAATTTTTGAAAGGATAGACACATTGAAAAAAGTGTGCCACAGTTCTATTTTATTTATAAATTTACTCCAGGTTTTTAAGAACATTTAATTCCTGTTAGGCAAGTATTACAGAATTCCCCAAACTGGAGACTTGAGACCAACCCAGCATTCTGCATGATTTGTACCAATAATACATGGCAGAGAAACTAGTTATATGACCCAGTTGGCATTGCCTTGAATTGGTGTTTAAAGGAGGTTGAATTGGTATTTTGGGCCTTATTTGGAGTTTTGGGACTCATTATTATTAATTATAACTGTCATTGTTCAGAGCTATGCTGTCCAATGTAGTACCACAGCCACATGTTAACAATTTAAATTGAATTAAAATGAAATAAAATTTAAAAGTTCAGATTAGTGCCCTTGCTGGTTTGGCCCAATGGATAGAGTGTCCGCCTGTGGACTGAAGGGTCCCAGGTTCGATTCCAACCAAGGACACATGCCTGGGTTATGAACTCGATTCCCAGTAGGGGTGTGCAGGAAGCAGCCAATCAATGATTCTCTCTCGTTGATGTTTCTATCTCTCTCTCCCTTCCTCTCTGAAATCAATAAAAATATATATTTTTTAAATTTCATATTAGCCACATTTCAATTCTTCAATAGTAGTTACCATATTAGACAACACAGATTAAGAACATTTTTGTCATCACAGAAAATTCACTGGTTTAGAGAATGAGATGTGTTATACCCAATATATTTCATTCTTTGCCCTAGAAATTTACATCTGTTGAGTCTTACTATTTCTAAAGAAATAATGAAAAAGAAGTAAAAAGGGCTTTGTACAAAAATGTTCGCTATGATCTGCAATCACTCTGATCTCTAATTATCTCTGTTGGCAAAATGTTTGTAATAAGTAACCCAGGTGTCTCAATAGAAGAGAGTAGTTTTTAAAAATATAGACTCTACCTGATAAAATATAGTCATTAAAAATAAGTAAAAGAAGAAAAAAAGCTATGAAGAAACATTGTAAATATTTATAATTTTTAAAGCACAATATAAAACTATCTATACTGTGATTGTAACCATGTAAATCATGTACAAATTTGGAATAAAGACTAGAAAGGAACCAGCAAATATGAAAAAGGTTGACCTATTTCCCTTGAGGAAGAAAAGTGAGTGTTGTTTCCTGGCTGTCCCCTAGAGCACCAGAAGTATCTGGACAAACTCCTCAACAATTGCCTGCTGAGCTGCACCATGCAGGAGCTGATTGGCTTGTATATTACCATGGAGGAGTACTTCATGAGGGAGACTGTGAATAAGGTAGGACAGAGGACACATCCCTTGGAAATGGGGCTTCCTGTCCAAGAAGCCAGGCTGAAGGAAATGGCCAAGGCGTGTCATATTTCTTGGTCCTGCTTTGAGAATACCCTTGCAGATTGAGTGGCACCACTTTGTATGGTTAGTGGTTATGCTTTGGAATGGTCATGCTCTTCATAGATCCAGGTGGGACTTCTTTCCCAAGGATCAAAAAAGAACACCTCACTCCTCAGGGCGTCTACTTGTCCCGGCCTCCCTCGAGGTATGTGGTGAGGAGTGTTGGGGAAGAAGGGCCTCTCCTGATCTCTTACATCTCAGGTAATAGTTGTCCTCAAGGCAGAGGCCCTAAATACTTAATTTCCTAAGTGATCAATAGGGAAGTGATAGCCTTTAATAAGGATATCCACACCAGCTGTTGACCAGGGTAAACCTTGTGGGGAAAATAGGGACAAGGTATAGAAAAGGAAGCAGAGCCAGGGCCTGTTCCAGAACCTTCTTGAACTGTGACATGTAGAACTGGGCCCTTACTGGGTGCTTTGCCTTTTGGGTAGGCTGTGGCTCTGGACACCTATGAGAAGGGCCAGCTGACATCCAGCATGGTGGACGATGTCTTCTACATTGTTAAGAAGTGCATTGGGCGGGCTCTGTCCAGCTCTAGCATCGACTGTCTCTGTGCAATGATCAACCTCGCCACCACAGAGCTGGAGTCGGACTTCAGGTATGGTTGGTGCTGTCTCATTTCTAGGAGGCAGGAAGGTCCTAATTGTGATTCATTTCTGAGGCCCATTTGTTTTTTCCTTTTTTCCCTTATAATAGTTCTACAGGATAAACCTCTTACCCATCGCACAACATCCTTGGCTCCAGGCAGCTGAACAGCAGCCAGATATCTTATGGGCCCAGTCAGTGTTCCCCGCACTAGCTTGGAGAGGTCATTGGCCCTCAGTCCCATGAAAGACAACAGGCAGTTCAGATGAAGGCAGTAGTTGTGATATTTACATAGTTGCCACGATGCTGATTGCCTGCTCTTATTAAGTCCTAAAATAACCCTGTGAGGTAGGAGCTATTAGCTCTGTTTTATAGTTGAGGAAACTGGGGCTTAAAGAGATTCCATTCCTTGTCAAAGATACCACACCTCATACATGGTGAAATATAGACTAGAGTTGAACTGACAGCCTTTCATTAAGCTGAACTTCTGAGTTTGTTGGAGCTCAGTGGTGATACCCGAGAGCCTCATGGGAAGTTGAGAATTAACTGGTCTTCTCTGGGTGCTCTTGTCATCAGTACCCTCGAGGGGTATTGGCCTCTGACCATGCCTGGCTGCCCATGGCCTCCTACAGTCATCTCAAGGATCGGTCATACTCTGATGGCTCAGGGTAGGGGGCCCTCTGGTCCTGCTGCCCTGGAGGCCCATCCACCCCATCTGCCATTCTGCCCCTAGGGACGTTCTGTGTAACAAGCTGCGGATGGGCTTCCCGGCCACCACCTTGCAGGACATCCAGCGTGGGGTGACGAGTGCCGTGAGCATCATGCACAGCAGCCTCCAGCAGGGAAAATTTGACACAAAAGGCATTGAGAGCACTGACGAGGCCAAGCTGTCCTTCCTGGTAGGTAGCCCCACCAGCCGGGAGCTGAGTTGGTTTATCTCAAGAGGTAAAGCTATGACGTGTAAGCTACAGTATAACCTTCAGCTGGAGACTTTCCCTCTAGTGTCTACGTAGAAGGAAAACTCCTTTAAGGACAGCTCATCTTAGAAGGTTCTGAAACCATGTCTTACCCAGGGGCCTATTCTGAGGAGCCTGAGCCAGGACAGGCACTGTTTCCTGCCTGCAGTCTGGGTGCTCAGCTTTCTGGAGTGCTCATCCACAAGAGCACTACCCCGCTGTTCAAGGGCTCCACTTAGAGCTTGGCTTGCATTTGCCACAGGACCAACTGGAACATGTGCCAGCCTCCAGCCGGCTCCTCTGAGGACAGTCCCCCACTACGGATGGGATGGGTGCCAATCCTTCAAGCCTACCAGGACTGCTTTTCTAGCACACTTCTTAGGCTTTCAGTGTCCTCAGAAATGTGACCTTAGTGAAGCCCTTAGCCTCCCAGAATGACAGATGTGATGAAGCAGTGAGTCTTCAGTTGTGTGACAGCTGGTGAAGGAGAAACGTGGAAAGATGAAAGGATTTATACCGCACCTAGTGTGTAATGAGCCAAAAAGCACAGATGAGTCCTGAGCTCACATCCAGGCTTGTCTGGCACTTGCTGTCTTGGCATGAATGGAACAGCACTGTGAGAGGTCAGTTTGCTCCACCCTTACATTGGCCAGACTCTCGTCTTCTTGGACCCTGAGGGTCAGAGGCTGAAGGAAACATCCAATAGCAGAGCTCTCCATCAGCACACAGATAGGGACTATGAACACCCTTGGGTTAGGTGTAAAAGTGTATGTATGTATTTTTTTTCTGGAAGCAGGGACCTTAGCTTTTCAGATTCTTAACTTTCAAAAGAGTTCAGAGCTGTTACTTTCTCAGACAGAAACCTAAACATGCTAATACCTACCTGTCTCTGTACAAGGGAACCCACAGTACTAGTCCTCAAATAGATGTGCAGGCTCTTTAGGCAGCCCCACTCTCTTCCTGTCATTGAAAATATGTTCCCTGGGCATGGGTTCTGTCGATCTGGAATGTCATGGTTGTTGCCAGAAAAGAGTATTAGTTCAGAGAAACCATTGCCTCTGAGTATGGTGCCTTTGGAGAACTTTGCCAAAATGTCTGGCAGCCAGTTTCATATGATCATGGATTGACTTAAATTTTCATTTTGTTTACATTCCATTTCATTTTTTACAGAACTTATCTCATTCTTTCATTTCTCTGCTCAGAAACGACTCCTTGCTACCTACCTCAGCAAAGCTAGCCACCTTTGCCGGCTGGTTTGTTGAAGGCCCTCTGAATCTCACCCATCCTGCCCCTCTCGTCCTACTTTCCCCACTCAGCTCCACAGGCCCCATTAGGCTAAAGGCTGTGCGTTTGTGCCGTGGCTGCTCCCGTTCAGACAGTTTCATTATTTGAGGGCCCAGAAAATAAGGCCAATAAGAAGGGTGATGCTGGGGCCCGCCGGATCGCTCTAGCTCAGTTGTTAGAATGTCGTCCTGATTTGCCAAGGTTGCAGATTTGATTCCCGATACAAAAATCAGTCAATCAATGCATAAATAAGTGGGACAACAAATCAGTTACTCCCTCTCTCTCTCTCTCTTCCCCTCTCCCTCCCTTTCTCTCTCCCAAAAAAAAAAAATCAATAAGTTTAAAAAAGAAGAAGTGATTCTGAATGCTTGATAATAGGATTCTAGTTTTTCTGACACCAGGTACTTAAAATGTCACCATTCCCACCGCAGGGCCTATGTCTTATGTCACCTTGATTCATTTGGTTGTCAAGATGAAGTCCCCAGCGGTGCTGACAGATCATTCACCATGAGCTGGGATAAGCCCAGTGAGTCCTTGCTTACAAGGGCTGTCGGTGTAAGGAAATTTTAACATCAATACCATTTGAACCCAAATCCATTGGGTTCATGACAGATTATTCTTGGTGCCCTTAAATGTCTTAGAAACATTTATGTTGTTGTCTTAATCCTTGAGCGGTCATACAGTGCAGTGAATTCCCTGGAACTGGTGATGTTAGCAGCCTTGTGTGTGGCATGCTAATGTAAGGCCTTACGTGTTACCCATCTCAGTGGAAGCAGCCTCAGCACTGTCAGCAGCATGACCTTTCAGTACTGGCTGCAGGACACTGATGAGGGGAGCGTTCTCAGGGGACAAGAGGGGTGGCCTACCCTCAACCTCCTGAGGTTCTGGGAGTCTTCTTCTATCTTGAAATCCTGAAGCTCCCAACTTCTCTCTTGAAAACTGGTTCCTCTCTACATCATCTTTGCCTTCCTGGTCATGCCGCTAGCACACCAGTTCAAAGGCTGTGTGATCCTCTCAAATTTTAATCGCTGCCCCACACAGCCTCTAGGCTAGTATTCCCAGCCCACAGCTGTGCTCATGTCCCATTCACCTGCTTTAAATAATCCTCAGTGTCACCCCATTGTCCACAGGACAGCAGAGCACCCAAGTGCCGGTCTGACTTTACCCACCTCTTACCATTTTCCTGCCTTGTCTGTGCACTGACTCTGCTGATCCCTACATACCGTTTGGAGTTTTCTGCCACTCTGCATTTGCTTATGTTATTTCCTCTCCGTTCACTCATTCAACAAATATTTATTGAGAAACTTCAGGCACTGTCTTCGGTTCTAGAGCTGCATTGCTCAATATGGTAGCTCCTAACCACATGTGGCTATTTAAATATAAATTTTAAGGGTACAGGGGGATACATGATGATGAAAAAAATAAATAAAATGAATTTTTATTTTTTTTTGCTTTTTCTTATAAATTTAAATTTTAAAATCCATTTCCTGAGTTGCACTAGCCACATTTCTAGTGCTCAATAGCCACACATGGCTAGAGGCTACCATACTGGACGGTTCAGATTTCAAATATTTCCATCATCAGGAAAGTTACGTTGCACGGTTTTCTACTAGAGACACAGTGGTAAAGAAGACAGACAAGATCCCTGTCTTCAGGGAGCTGTCATTCTAGGGAGAAAGGCAGGCAAGAAACAAACATTATCGGGTCATCCTAAGTACCATTAAGAAGATACAGAACTGGACAGGGGGCTGGTGGGGGCGGAGTAATGTACTCACCATCATCTCCTGTTAGTTATGTTCCAGCCTTTTAAATTCAGCTCAGTTAACAGCTCTGCCATGGAGCTTTCCTTGAAGAGCTCAGACCAAAACGTTTGTTCTTTCCTCAGAATGGCACAGCAGTTCGTGCCTTAGTCATCACTTTGACACATGCTGGTTTATATGATTGGTGTTTCTGCACCTCTCTTAAAGTCCCCTGAACTGTGAGAGAAGGAGTCTGGCTCCCATCCCAGCTCTAGCTCTGTAGTCTGTCACTCTCTGAGTTTCTGTCTCTTTACCATGCTTCCTTTTTCTTTACGGAGTTTATCACGACCTGACGTTATAAAATACGTATATTTATTATCAGACTTCCCGTCTGGAATATAAATTCTATGAGGGAGTGAATTTTGTCCGTTTTGTTAACTGCTTTCTCCCTGGTGCCTAGGACAGTTTCTGGCAGGTAGCCAGTGCTAGGTAAATATTTGCTGAGTGAATTCTGGACTAGCCTTGGTGAGTCATTTCATTTTCTGAGGAGTTCTGTTCCTCTCTCTGAGCTGGCTTGATAATACTTGTTTTGAGAGGGTATTTGTATGAGAAAGTGCCTCCTGGGGGCCAGGGCTCAGGAAGGATTTCTTTAATGAGTGTCAGCCTTTGCATCACTGACCTGGACCTGGAGGTTCGAAGCCTCAGGGTATCTCCCAGGCCTGTGTGCCTAAACGTGGAGAAAAAAGACCTGAAACCGTGGGTCACTGCCTCTGAAGTCAGGTTGGTTTTGTTGCCTTGGTGTCAGGACCAGGAGAAAGAGCAAGCTGGCTCACTGTTCTGCCCAACCTGGGAGCTGAGGGCCCTGCCTGATGACAGTCCTCAGCCTCATCGGAGCCTCAGGAGTGCAGCTGTCCGCCAGTCTGGCGCTGGAGTGGGTACCGACACCAGGGAGCAGGAAGTCACATTCTTCTGTCCTATCTCCCAGGTGACTCTGAACAACGTGGAAATCTGCAGTGAAAACATCTCTACTCTGAAGAAGACGCTGGAGGTACAGAGGAAATTGCCTATTGCTTTGAGCCACTGCAGTCTCCCCGGGAGTGAGCCCTGGGCACTCCTCCTGGTGGGACTGTGGCAATCAGCACTGAGCCAGTCTCTCCTGCAGAGCACGGGAGGGGTTCACTAGTGTGTGACCGGAGGAAGAGCTCTGGTCCAAGATCTGGAAGATCAGAATTCAGATTAGATCTTCCAGCACATACTTAGCATGTGACCTTGGACAAGTGTCTTAACTCGCAAAGCTTTAGTTCTCTCATCTATTGAATGATGCCTTACTTTGGGTTTGTTGGGTGGCATAACAAAAACCATGATTGAAAACACTATAAACGTGATAAAGCCCTCTGTAAGTGTGAGAGACTGAGCTGAGATAGTCACCAAGCCTTGTACAAAGCTGGTCGCTGTTACCATTTTTTAAAGGAAAGCTGCATAGTATAGTGAAAATTGTTTGCACTTGGAAGTCAGATACCCCTGAGTTCAAATCTCCACTTGACCACTGACCCGTGGTGCAGCCTCAGGCAAGTTCTGTTCCCTCCCTGAGCCTCAGTTTCCTCATTTGTAAAACAGGAGAGTGATCTCTGCCCCCCAGGGTGGTTGTGAGAATTGAACAAGGTAATGTAAGCACCTCATACAAGAGAGGGATGCAATAAGAGTAAATTATATTAATAATTACAGATAACAGCATGGAGCAGTCACCGTAAGTGTCAGAGGACAAGGGGCCAACTCTGCCTCTGGGGAAGGAGGGAGGCCAAGGTCCTCCTCCCTCGTGCACTGTACTCGGCTCTGCTGCAGAAGCAGGACTCCACATGCACAGGGCTGGGCAGGCTGAGGAGCTGGGGGCCGGCACACAGGGAAGAGGGCCCAGGAGCTGATGAGGTTTCTGAGCAGCTCAGGGAGAACGTCAGATGGGAGTTGACAATAGTACTGTAAACTGGACTAGATGATGAATGTATCCCAAAAGGGGCTTTAGAATTGGGTAAAATGGGAGTGATACGAAGTACCAATACCATAGTGTCTATCACACTGTATATATTCTACAAGGTAACTGTCATCATTGTTTCTGAGTCATGGCGCCTTATATTCCCGATTTCGTCTTTTACTTAGTCTGTTGGATTTTGAAATAAAATTTTAGGAAATGTTAGGCATTCAGAACTGAACTGGTAGAATTAGCCAAGTGAAAGAAAAAAGGATAGCAAAAATCTACAAGCAATTCTCGTAAATCCTACCCGCTTTGGATTTGCATTTCACATATGTCCTTAATCCATGAGGTCAGGCGGCATGGTGTCCACCTTACAGATGAGGTTAAAGAGCTAACAGTACAGCTTGGAGCTGCTGTAGGAATGCGGGGCCTCTGCCCTCTAGATCAGTCCCTTTACGACTCTCCCACAATGCTGCGCCTGCTGTAGCCAGAGCAGCACAGGCCTTCTGAGGAGGCTACAAGCCATGTGGGCAGCTGCAACCCAGACATGGTGAGCTTCAGGCAGCTCCTCCTGTGAGTGCTGTGCACCTGGGCTGTAGTACGGGAGTCGGAACAAGTGCTTTGGAGCCTGAATTCCCACCTGGAATCCCAGCTCTTCACCTGACTGCTGTGTGGCTTTAGTTATAACTTCTCTGTGCCCCGTTTCCTCATCTGTGTAACAGGGATAATAATAGTACCTACTTCATAAGATAGATGCTTTAATAAAAATAAAATGCTTAGAACAAGGTAAGCCAGTTAAATCTTAGCTATGTTCATGACAATCTCCCTTGGGCTGCCAGACTATAATATTTTAAAATTAGAAATATAACAATAGCTAATATGTCCTTAATGCCTACACTGTGCCAGGCATTTGGCTAAGCACTTTGTGCATCATTTCATCCAATTCTCACAACCACCAAGGAAGCAGGATTTGGGTTATTTTATAGACAGTGAAATTGAAGTTCAGAAACTAAACCACCTGACCAAGGTCACTCAACTAATAGGTGGCTAAGCCAGGAATTGAACCTAGCAATGTCTGTCTCTAAAGGTATGAAAAGATGTCTGGTTTTTGTGTTTCTTATTCACATCCCTTAACACTGGTACCCCCAGATTACAAAGGGGGAAGTGGGAGCCAAGTGGCTAGCCACCAGGATAGAATCTAGGTTTCTGAAACGCACTCAGGACTCGTGCCTAGGATAGGCCTTAGCTGTTCCCAGAGAAGGCTAGAGCAGGAAAAATGGCTGTTGCATGTTGCCGCCCTCCCCACTGCCCGTGGCCCTCGCTCAGAAGCCTGAAAACTGGGTGTTTTCTCCTAGAGTGACTGTACCAAGCTGTTCAGCCAGGGCATTGGTGGGGAGCAGGCCCAGGCCAAGTTTGACAGCTGCCTTTCTGACTTGGCCGCCGTGTCCAGCAAATTCAAAGATCTCTTACAGGTAAGCCCCCAGTTCAGCTACTGGCTGAATCCTCTGCCTGTGTTGCTTGGAGAAGATTGTTACTGCCTTACCGTGGGCTCTGTGTATAAAGAAACAGGAAGGACGGGTGAGGAAATAGCATGCAAGCCGCTGAACGTATGCAATCCCTTGAGACTAAAGGCCCCATTGGTCTTTCAGTGATGCAGCTGTCACATTGAAAAGCTAGCATTCTGGCCTAGAATCTGCACTTGGCCCCACGGTGCCAGGAGCCCTCAGAAAGGTGCTCTGAGGAATGGAACCACATGGTTACTTGGACCCACTGCTTGGCCTTAGTCACAGGTGCTGCCTAGTACTGAGCACTCATATCGCTTCCTTTCTTTTTTTAAAATAAAATAAAAAATTTTATTGATTTTAGAGGGGGCGGGCAGGGAGAGAGAGAGAGAGAGAGAGAGAGAAACATCAATGAAAGAAATACCAATTGGCCTACTGGGGATGGAGCCCGCAACCCAGGCATGTACCCTGACCGGAATCAAACCGGCAACCTCTTTGTGTATAGAGCGACACTCAACCAACTGAGCCACACCAGCCAGGGCCAGAAATCTCTTCTTTTGAGAGTGTACACCAAGCAGGTCAAACTCGCAGCCTGCGGGCCCCACGTGGCTCACAATGAATATTTTTGTGGCCCAGCCATTATAACGGTATGTAAGAAACATGTTAATAACAATTTGTAACTTACTTTTTACAATATTCTGTTACACATAATTATTAATACCGAATTACAGCCCTAACCAGTTTGGCTCAGTGGATAGAGCGTCGGCCTGCGGACTGAAGGGTCCCAGGTTTGATTCCAGTCAGGGACACGTACCTTGGTTGCAGGCACATACCCAGTGGGGAGTGTGCAGGAGGCAGCTGATGGATGTCTCTCTCTCATCGTTGTTTCTAACTCTCTATTCCTCTCCCTTCCTCTCAGTAAAAAATCAAAAAAATATATTTTTTAAAAAACACAGAATTACAACGTTCGCTAATGACTGATTATAATCATGTCATTACATTTACATGCCTTACTCACAGGCGCACCATTTCCTCCACTAATACTAGCAGCGAATATTTTAGCAGCTGATTGCCCCGTCATTAGTCTTGTACTGACTTGTTTGGTGTGCGCAACAGGAAATATTTTGCTTGCAAAGAAGAAGAAAAATAGGTTTATTTGCGTTACACGTATTAATTTGTGCAGTTATTCAGTGTCTGATAAGTTAATGTTCAAGAAAAAATGTTAATTTTTATTAAAATGTTCTATTATTTTATGTTAACAATTACTCATTTACTTCAGCCTTTTATTCAGCATGTCTCTATCGAAATAAATCTACGTTTCTATGACACTTGAAGCTTTTGTTTTTTGTGGCCCACGTAAACTTAAGCCTTGTTTACTTGGACCGTGTTAGCCTTTGAGTTTGACATGCTTGTACACACCATCCTCTAGGCCAGCGGTTCTCAACCTGTGGGTCGCGACCCCTTTGGCGGTCGAACGACCCTTTCACAGGGGTCACCTAAGACCATCCTGCATATCAGATATTTACATTACGATTCATAACAGTAGCAACATTACAGTTATGAAGTAGCAACGAAAATAATTTTATGGTTGGGTCACATGAGGAACTGTATTTAAAGGGCCAGAAGGTTGAGAACCACTGCTCCAGGCCTTATCTCTGGCCTGGACCTGAATTGGCACAGATCTGGAAAGGAGCTGGTGTTCCTGGCCTCTTTTGTCAGCATTATCTGTTACATTTCAAACAAGGCCTGCAGATAGTCTCAGAGCTGGAAGAATGCCCTGGCAGCCGAGGATGGAGCTGGAGAAAGGAAAGGAGCAGGTGCCTTCTGGGTCTGATACTTGTACTTTGCAGGAAGGGCTGACAGAGCTAAACAACACAGCAATCAAGCCACAGGTGCAGCCTTGGATCAACACCTTTCTCTCTGTTTCCCACAACATTGAGGAGGTAAGCCTGACCACAGGAGCCTCAAGCTCAGGACGACCCTCTTGTTCCCCTCCCCGCAGCCGGAGGGCAGTGGAACTGTCTAAACAGACTAGTCTAGTCCTCACACTCTTCTCAGGCCCACTTCCCTCACCCCCATAGCCTAGGTTCCTCCCAGGAAACGGGCTGTTCCTGTAGTCAGAAGGGCTCAGACAAACATTTAAAGGGCGTTTGCCTTGACCTGACATATCCTCTTACTGAGGCTCTTTTTTCTTTTTCGAACCTAAGGATATTATTCCTATAGGACAGGGGTGGGGAATCTTCTTTCTGCCAAGGGCCATTGGGATATTTATAACTTTATTCGTGGGCCATACAGAATTATCCACTTAAAAATTAGCCTGCTATATTTGGTCAAGCATTTAATTACTCACCCCTAATGCCTTAGCAAGACCAGATTAAATGATTTCTCAGGCCTTACAGGGCCTGTAGGCCAGACATTCTCCACCCACCCCTGCAAGAGTAAAATGCCAGGAGCTTTACCATATTGTGTGGGCCATGGCTATAGGCCAGGGCCGTTTGCCAGTGGGAAGTGTGGTGCAGAAGTAGCAGCAGTTACTGCCTGCTGCGATGTCCACGGTGGTTTTAAGGTGGATGAGTCAATAGCTACCAGGGAAGAAGAACCTCCTCTGTTAGAAGGTGGAAGTGGGTGGGTGGGTGTAAATGGTTCTTCTTGGAGAAGCCCCAGTGACCCGTCTTGCTTCCTAACAATAGGAAGAATTCAATGACTATGAGGCCAACGACCCTTGGGTGCAACAGTTTATCCTCAACCTGGAACAGCAAATGGCAGAGTTTAAGGTGAGCAGGGGTCCTAGCAACCAGCTTATGGAATTACCCACAACTCCCCAAATCAGCAAGCTGAAAGCCCTCCCAAGTCCCAGCCTGTAGAAACACTCCTTGATGGCCTCATGTGACTGTCCCTACCCCGCAAAAACCCCACTGTGTAGGCAGAGGGATGGGAGGGCTCCCACTGATGTCTGGCCTCTGTGTCTAGGCCGGCCTGTCTCCAGTCATCTATGACAATCTGACCAGCCTCATGACCAGCTTTGTTGCAGTCGAATTGGAGAGAGTGGTGCTGAAATCCACCTTCAACCGGGTAAGGTCAAGGGAGCACGGGTCCCCAGCTCTGTTTCTCCTTTGAGGAAGATGGGGCCTGTCATTTGCATCCTTGAACAGTGACTGGGCTTATGTTCCCCTGCAGCTGGGCGGTCTGCAGTTTGACAAGGAGCTGAGGTCACTCATTGCCTACCTTACCACGGTGACCACCTGGACCATCCGAGACAAGTTTGCCCGGCTCTCCCAGATGGCTACAATCCTCAATCTGGAGCGGGTATGTGGGGTCCCCTCAGCCTAACCAGGGAAAGGTGTCTGACCACATTTGGATGGCAGCCACTCCACCAAAATGCCAGCAGCCCAGCCCTGCCGGGCACCTTCTTCCTGGGCTCCACTGTTCTGAACCTGGTGGAGCCGAGGCCGTCCCCAGGATAGCCCCTCCTGGCTGACGTGGCTGTTCTCCCACAGGTGACTGAGATTCTGGATTACTGGGGCGCCAACTCCGGCCCACTGACATGGCGCCTCACCCCCGCTGAAGTGCGCCAGGTGCTGGCTCTACGCATAGACTTCCGCAATGAGGACATCAAGAGGCTGCGCCTGTAGCCCCAGGATGAGTCCACCTGGCCTGTCACACTAAGTGGCCACAGCCAAGGAGCTGAACAAGGCTGTCTGGCGTGAGGAGAGCTCGGACGACCCAGACTGTTCCACCATTGGCAGCAGAGAAACAAGGCACCGACTCACTCCACACTCTGCACTCAGACCGAGCTTTGGGAGTAGCCTCTCCCCACCAAGGGGCGGGTCTCCCTGGGCTCCTAACTGGTGGGCAAGTCAGCGCAGGCCAGCCTTCTCCAAGGTGGTCATGCTCCCCCGCCGGACACTGCAGCAAACGGACTGCCAGCCCTAAAGGATGTGGGTGCATCTGGGGACCTAGAGAACTAGGTTTACTCCGAGAAGAGGGTGTGATACTCTGTCCACTCTGATTAAAGAGACTCCTCGGAGAAATGCCAGTGTGCTGTTTTCAGGGAGGGCTGGGTGCTACAGGGCAAGACAGGGGTACCAGTTGCACTGAAATGTGAAGGCAAAAGCCTAAAGCCTCAGCCTCCTCCCACAGCCAGAGTGGCACACAGCCCCTGCCAGGACCTACTTGATAGCTGGTGACTCACCTGACCCTGGACCCTCATCCCCTCTTGGGCCCTCAGCACCGAAGCTGGATCACCCCAGGCAGTTTCCCACAGTGCCAGGGAGGTGGGAACTCCTCCTGGCAGGAACGGAAAAGCTCTCTGAGGACAACCTCAAAGGGCAGATTCGATTTATTCCAAGAAGGTCATAGTCCTGAAACCTAGGGCCACATGGCACAGTCCATGGTACAGGTTAAGGCCTGAGTTGGCAGTGACTGGCTGTAGACCACACTGGCTCACTTCCACAGACATGGGGCTGGACCCCCACTCCTACTCCCACTCCCCCATCAAGTCAGCCTGGGAGTGAGTACTGAACATGAAGTCTATTCAGGCAAAAGCCCGGCCTCTATGGAAGGCCACAGGAAATCCTCAAGGGCCTCTTCAGGGTCAGCCTTACCAAGGGACCCAGCCTCTGCTAGGGCTGGTTGTCATCCCCTGCCAGGGCCTCCATAGAGAATAAGAAGGTCACAGAGAAAGGCCACAAGGGACACTGACCTTAGGACCTTCCTATGTCCAGATGGAGCAGAGGCCAAGCCTAGGCCACGGTGAATCAAGAGGTCACAGTCCTGTTCCCAAGTGTGGTGTCTCTCACCAGGGGGCTGGGCCCAAACTCAAGTCGGCTTCCTTTGCGAGCAGATCCATAGAGGTAGGTGGGGAGTCGGAGGCTGAGTGCTCTGAAGGGAGGGGCTGCGGTAGCTCCAGGTTTTCTCCTCTTGCGGAGGGACAAGCCTCATAGGAAGGCGCATCAGGTTGAGTTCTCACTCCCCAACAGCTGCAGGCTCAGGCCCTGAGTGTCCACTTCTACCAGGTGGACACTGTAGTTCCCGAGGCCCTGGGAGCAAACAACAAGAGGTGTGTAGAGGGCTCTGTGCAAATCTCTGGCCTTTCCGGAGGCTGGCCTGAGGCTGCAAGGCCAGGGGGACATGTAGCTACAGCCCCTAGTTAGCCAGGGGGCCACAGTGAAGGCTCCTGCCCCCCCACCAAGTACCATACCCAGCACCATCAGGTACCTCGGTCTTGGCCAGCACGGCCTCCAGAGCCTCCTTTTGCTTTGGCTCCTTGGTCAACAGATAGAGAAAGCCCCCACCGCCTGCCCCTGCCAGGCTCTGGCCGTACACATGGGGGGCCAGGACATCCATCATTCGCCGCACAGCCAGGGGCTCACAGCCTGGAGCCATGCGCTTCTTCTGCTCCCAGTACAAGGTCAGGCACTGGCCCAGCAGAGGCAGGCTTCCTGGGGTGGGGGCAGAGAAGGGAAAGGCGTGCCTGAGCCAGAATATTCTGTCAGTGCCCATTTATCGACGCTAAAGTGCCAAGAGGTGCTGCTTAACCAGGGGCTGGAAACAGGAGTAAGAACCACCTCACAGGGTTGTCTGAGGACCCGTGCACATAAAACTGACATGGTGCCCAGCAGTGTCCAGTAAATGATACAGCCACTCACTGGAACCCCGCTTAGCTCTGACTCCCTGGCACTCGGTGAAAGGGCCCAGCCTCTTCCCCCACCTGCTTCTTGGTAGATAGGACTGGAGGCCTTCCCCATGGTGCAAGTATTGTCCTGAGATATGGCTCCCATCTAAGTGAGACCCTAGGGAGGACAGATGGTCGGCTTCCGTCCCGGGGGCCTAACACCTGGGGCCTGTGCCAAGCCTGAAAACGCCCCTGGCCTTAGACCCATGGGCGACCAGACCTCACTCCTGGTGCCCTGCCCCTGGAGGAAGCCCCTCACCTTGGTGGAAGGCTTTCGCGCACTCCTCGGTGTGCCGCACTAGGCTGTGGGCATTCTGTACAACAGCAGGCAGCCGGGCATACCAGCTCCTCAGCACATCCTGCAGATAAGGCAGGAGGGGTGCGATGAAGGGCTGGGCCCTGCCTCCCTCCTGCCTCCCTTCCGCCTCCCTTCTTCCTCCTGGGGCTGAGGCTCACCTGCAGCAGATTGCGCGCCAGGCGGGTCTTGCCAGTGTACACCAGGAGTAGGTGGTCATTGAGCGTCTGGACAAAGCCCTCAGGTACCGTGATCTCTTCCACCTCCACCTTCAGTGGCAGCTGAGCCCGGGAGCGCCCCACCTTGATGCCAGGCATTAGACCACCCACTTGGTCCTGCCAGCCACCTCCTGTGAACCCAGAGTCCATCACTGTTGGAGCCTGTCTGGCCCAAGTTCTCTCTCCCAGCCCAGGCTCTGGCAGGAATCAGTGGGCAAGATAGCTTCCCCCAACTCCAGCTGGGCCCAGTGAGCTGTGCAGCTTCTGTCACCAGCCTTGGGAGCAGGATGAGGCCAGCAGGAGAAAGGATTTCACTTCAGAACCCAGCTTGAGTGGCTATTGATTAATGTCTGTCCCCAATAGACCACTTAATTTTTGAGAGCAAGGACCCTGTATTTGTTCATTTTATCCCCAGGGTCCAACACTGAGTGGATACTCAATAGTTGTCAATTGACCAAATGAAGGGTTTGAATGGTGCATCCCAGAAGAAAACTAGGAAGGCCTCCCTATTTGCCCCTCTTGCTGATAACTACCTGTTACGGGATGTGAGTCATTACAACAAAAGGAGCGGGTGGGCTGCAAAGGGACCGGAAAAGGTAGCATAACAGGCATCTATACATCCTTGTGACAGGTTCCTGCCCAGAATCACAATGGGGATGAAGCCTGGCATCCTGGGTGACCACAGCACCCTAGGATCGGGCCAGACAAACTAGCTGCTCCCCATTGTGCATGGATTCCAAGGGGCCATGGTGGTGAGAAGAGGGAGAAGCCTGTGATCCAAGCCATGTTCTGGGCCCTCGGTGCCCCCCACGTGGCTGGCGGGAAGGGGGGGTGGGCACCAATGACCATAGCCCAAGGGAGAGGCAGGTTGGTTGGGAAGGCAGGGTAAAGGCCCTGTCCCCTACTACAAACCCATTTTGCCCAGCCCCACCCTTAGGAACAGTCCTGGATGGCAACAAAGTCATGAGGAATAAACAATGTACCTAACACACATGAAAGGCAGAGCACAGAACCTAAAGGTGCTCCTAAAACATCAGCTCCTTGGAAGGAGAAATGTTTCAAGCTGCACATCCCCAGAGGTCAGAGTGATAAGGAAGCTCTAACCATCTGAAGGAACAGCAGTTAAGTGGCTGTCACCAAGCCCAGGGGAGCCCCCGGAAGCTTTTGGGAAAGTGCCAGTGACCTCCCTCCCAGCAGGGGCGGTCCCATACCTGTGGTGAGCACCTGCTCCAGGTGCAGCACTGCGTGGATCAGGGCCTCCCTGCTCACCTTCCGGCCCGCGGCCCGCTGCAAGGCGGCCAGGGCAGTGCCCGCCAGGATGCTGCTGGTGCCTGCAGGGCAGGGAAGAGGTCAGTCGGGCATGAAACACCTCTGCGCAGCCCAGACCTGCCCCACCCCGTTGGTCTGTTGGGCAGGGGTAGTGAGGAGGCAGGAAGGCGAGGCTGGAGGGCAGGGATGGAGTGGTTGGCAGCAGGACAGGGCCCACTCACCGAGGCCAGAGCCGTGGGGCAGCTCAGACCAGGTGTGCAGCTCGAAGCCGCCCCCAAAGGTGCGCAGCAGCTGCTCACTCAGCGAGAGCTTGGACCTGACTTGCACGATCCCCGCACAGATGAAGGCCGCCTTCAGCAGAGCTCCTGGGAGGGACCAGCACCCAGCAAGGCATTTGGTCTCCAAAGGCGGAAGCAGACATACCACCCACCCCCACTATTTCCCATCTAGGGGCTCATCTAGGGGACAAAAGCCCAGCAGCAGTGCAAGCCCATCCCCAAGCCCCCAAAAGATCTCTGGGCTCTCCAACATGGGCAAATGTGCCAGCTCTGCCGCCTGTAGCTGCATGCACCTGGGCAAGGAGACCTCGGGGCTCCTCAACCTGACTGGGTAGCCCTCAAGCCAGACCCCCATGGCCGGCAGGGTCTCCAGGGTTCTGCCCTAGCCCCCAGCTAGCTGTGTGTGCCACTCCCACCGGCAGACGTCCTGGGTGCCCTGACCTGGAGCATGGGGCTGGCAGTAGTCCCTCATGTCCTCCAGGCTCCGGCACACGATCTTCATGGCCATCTCATCCCGCCGAGGCCCCACCGCCAGCCACAGCTCAGGCTCCCAGATGCGGCGAGCCCTGGCCCCAATGGGCCGGCGGCCATCCACTCGCACAGCCAGGCCCAGCACTGCCCCCCCAAGCTCGTAGGCAAGGGGTGGCGTGTCGCTCCAGCCTCCTGCAGCAGTTGAACAAGACCAAGCTGGTCAGGGGGCTGCCTGCCCGGCTCTGGGGTGGCTCCCCTCACCCCCCTCCAAGGGACTCACCAGAGAAATCCACACGAGCTGGGCACTCGGCCACCACCCACTGCCCGGGTGCCGGCAGCCCCACAGGCTCCGTGGAGACAAAGTGCTGGGCGGACATCACAGCCTGGCGGATCAGGATCTGCCCGGCCCCCTCGTAGTGGCGAGCCGCTCGCACTAACAGGACTGGCCTGCCAAGAGGGCAGGGAGAGATGGCGGCATGGAGCCCCAGGCTTGGGGCAGGCTGCCTGGGTTTGGGGCCCGACTTCCTTGGGCCCCACCTCCCTCTGGTCTGCACCTATAAGAATGACCAGGGGCTTCTCCAGGGGTCCTGACATCATTGGCACCCACCTGCTCAGCCACTTGTCCCGCTCCTGGGCAAGCGCCTTCACACCCCCAGCCAGGTCTCCACACTCCAAGTACGAGAAGGGCCGAGCCCACTCGGGATTGGCAGCCGGCCCACTCCGTAAGCCACCTTGGCCTTCTGCCATGCAGCCCAGGACGTCTGCCACACAGGCCAGCACCCGGGCCGCCACGCTTGGGTCTCCTGCACCCGCTGCAACTAAGGGA